TGCCATTGTTGTTAATATTTTGATATTTATAAAATTTAACATTACGTACCTACCTACTATATTGACGGGTTTTCCGTCCATTTATGTGCCACAATATAATTATTCTATGACGTTGGAAGTCATAATTATAGACAGGAAGAATAAGTGTGACCTACTTATGGTTCTTTAATGTTTTATTTAAAACAGAAATAGTTTTTATTACAAACAAAATATATTCTGTGAGTTTACAAATTTGAACTTAGATTCAATATAATGTGAGCTAATGTTAACATATGTGGGATAAGTAAAGTAGAGGCGTAAGTACGTATGTTTGAAGAAGATGGACATTTGACCGCAGCTACTAGTCGTATAAATAATTTAAATTCTCTGATAGGTATATTGATCCACGCGGGTTGATGATAACAAGTACTAAGTTAGATTCAACTTTTTAGCCTTTAAGGCTGCGCAATAAAGTTCAATTTGGGTGAGGAGTAGTAAAAGCAATCGCGGGCAATCCTAATGGGCTGGGATCACGCGTGAATCGTGCAAGACTCTATTTAGAATTAATGGAAGAATATACTAAATAAATTAAATATTGGTGATTTATAAATTGTCAAAATATTTTTATTTCAAACTATTCCAATTGTGCAAGCACATAAAGATTACATATTGATGTGTAATTTTCTTATTGATAAGGTAACCTTTTAAGAATGTGATAAGTTACTACTTACGCATTCAATTATCAGATTCTCGCCTATTGGACTACACTACACAAATACACTTGAATTTATACAAAAGATAAATTCATTTCATTGTAAATAAAAATAAATCAATTATAATAATCTTAACACATTCGTCCATCACAGGATAAATTTTATTTATTTATTTAATATTATTTTTGTTCGTATAATTTTCACTAACCTTGACAGAAAATGCTGTACATTGCATTAGCTGTTTAGTTAGTCTAGTGTCTACTTACTTTATAAAGCGCATGCGTATTAAACTTTGAAGGTTATTTCACATCCCTTTCTGTATTTCTGTATAAAGTGAAATGAAATGAAAGCCCAGTGACATGCGCGACATGCGCAGTGTTATTGATAAAATTACTGGCGGGAAATGGAAACACTTCCATTTTAATTATCAATTCTAAACGGAAATAAGTTACAAATAATTTGAATTATGTCATCTAGTACTTAGACTATCTAAATACATTTTACGATTTAGGTCCTAGTAGACGGCTAGACGGGTGCTACATTTTAAAAGTATTTTAATCAAATTAATTTTAAGTCGATATCTTAGAAGCTCACAGTAACGCATTGTTTTATCAGAAATATATAGGTAACAATACCGCAGGTAAGTTAATAAATAATGACAGTAAGGGTAAGGGGTAGGCACTAGGCGTCGCTAGATCTGAAGCAGTTCGGATTACTAAAGGGTGTTTAGTAAGAAAGCATACCAATAGATGGCAGACAATTTGGTCTATATGAGATAGTTAGATACACGATAAGTAACAGTATTAGGTATGACTGAAAAATAAAAATAGGTAATAAAGTACAATTTTTTTCTGTGTAGCTACGTAATCGTTAGCCGCTACTCTGTAAACACCGCACCGTATTTTATAAGTTTAACATATATGCACTATAACTCCCAAACACATATACCGATTTTGATCTGTTTTTTTTATTTCAAAATGTAATAGACGGATTTTAGCTACAATAAATTGACTGATAGGTAGGTATCTCATATACTTGGCAATGTACCTACCTGTATATTTGTATTAATAAGAAAACCGCTAAATTTATATCCATAATGATTGTAAAATGAGATTTGTAGAAGGGATATATATGTTATCCTTAAAATTTCAATCCCAGATACAGTGAACAAAGGTATATATAGTCCAAGTTTTTTCACTTATAGATATATTCGTATTGCTGATAATATTATTCTGTTATCGGTGTCAGTAATATGTGCTTATTTCGAGACTGAAAATATTCAGAATTACTTCTAGAACCTTAGATATTTACAAGTAACTACCATTTCATACAACGCCATCTAGTATGTAGTAGACAAACTGTTAAAATAATTTTCCTAAGAACTGAAATGAACTTTAAAATTGTATAGCATGACGTCTATTTTATCAATATTTTTTGAAGCTACGGAACACGACTAGTAAATAAATGGAATTTAAACTTGATGTAAATAGGAAAATATTGAAAATAGCGCCCTCTGTTAGCACACATTTGTTAATCTCAGAGATTCCTTCAAGGATTGCAATGCAGAGGATCCGCTAATGGTTCTACATGGTTGTGCTTAGCTCACAATATGCTACCTCCTATAGTGCTATAGTGAATCAATATCTTGTCCTATTATAACTGCAGTTTTTTCAGACTTTGCAGTTTCAACAATAAGAATGTCCGCATCATCTCTGGCTTGTTTAGTAGTATCTAATATTTGCAGCTTGTAATTTTTCAATTAGCATATTAATGAGCTTATCTTTGTTATTTCGATTTGTAGTTATTGCATGTTCTTGAGTAACTGGTACAACCATTGTTACATTGAAACAGACTTCATACGTTTTTGCAAGTGAATCAGTTATTCTCTGCTGCTCCATAGCTTTTACGGTAGTCTGAATATCCGTCAAATACAACAATTATTTTGGAACTGTAATGCCTTTGTAAATAATATCGGTTATCAGTATTATTGAATAGATATAGATTTAATGCATGAAGAAAATGATAAAATATAATATAATGGTTAATAAAATTTTACAAACATTGATTTATTAATAGTTCATCAACTATATATGGCGCGTTTTCGACCGGAGGCACCGGTTGACCTGAAGTTATGCTGTGACCGCGCGCTCTCTGCCCTCTATCTCGAAAACGGTTCACCATATAAAAAAAATTTTAAACAAAAGTTGTAGAGAATTTTTAGTCTACAACATTGTTAATAAATACAAATAGCAAAAAAACCATAGGAAATGAGATATTTACAAAAAAATTGATTTTTGTGACTTTTGACCTTGAAATTTAATAGTTGCGCACACCCTATCATATGTAGGTTTTGAGACAACTTTTAGGGTGTCAATATACAAGTATTAACAGACTTACTGCCGAGCATCTCGAATTCCGAGATTCTTACCAAATTTAAGCTTAAATGACTGGACTATTGGTAGGACGTATTATTAGGTCCATTAATAAAATTGTCTAAGGTGATAATAGTTTAAAGTCAACTGGGGTACCTACCTATAACCAAAGTGATTTTAAATTAAAACTAAATATATACATAGAATAAATAATATTAAAAATATATATTTATTATATATATTATTATTTTCTATGATGATAGATTTAATTATCATGAAAAGGATGTATAAAAGAACAAAGTTATTAAATAAATAAGATGATTATTTCAAAATTTGTTTAATCATAAATAAATAACATTTTTTGTTTGGAACAAAACAACCTCCATTATTATTCACACACCATCCAACTCGTCATTTAGTGAATTACAGTTATTAATTTTCTAATTATTTTCTAATAATACTTACAATAATCTTATAATTAGTGTTGTACATAGTTTATTACCACAATTAATTTGAGATTTTTCACGTAGTAAATATCTATACGCTTATAGAGAGAATTATTCCAATTAGAAAATACTGTATTTGTTTATTATATCAGTGAAATTGGTCATATTTTCTATGAAATAGCAAGAAAATTTAGTAAATATTTGAATATATGAGTATAGATCGCGAAACACAGTAAACGTAATTTACTTATCACTAAAAACTTATTAGGTACATTAAACGACTCTAATAGCTTTAAACTGCCTATAGTAAAGCAAAATAAAGCTTAGATGTATGCTGTTCTAGTCGTATTATGATATTTAATCTGTAATTCACGATTACTGCATTTCTAACCTTCTATTTTATCTAATATATAGAATTTGAAGCGATCTTCTTTTATAATAGAAAATGATGATATTATTTTATCTTTCGTAACAGATTTTGTTAAACTGCAATAAATAGTTTGTCTATTAATATTTAAATATTATCAATTATCATTATAGAAACACTAATAAAAGATGTACATCAAAATAAGAATTGGTCATCTCTGCTTAACAATACGAAATACGAGTATGACATAAATAATTTATCCTTTAATGTTCTACCTGGTAATGTTCATATAAAACGAAAGTGCCAAAACGTCAGTGCCAACGCTCAACAGCCGTTGATAGTCTCTGAAAAATTGATGACATTCTAGGTTCTTCTCTGTCTTAAACTTTTTTCACGGCTCTTTACAACTGAGTTAAATAGGTCGTTAAATAAATATTTATTGCAGTTTATACAATATTAATTTCAAAAAGCTTTTCATACAAGTAGTCAAAATTTATATAAAAAAAAAAAATAACAGCGATAAGTCTTGATTATACAATATTTAATTGACAAATATTTTTGTTTTTTATACGTAGGTAATATAATAGACGACACAAATAATAGTTATGGACTGGAACAAATTGGAATGGATAATTGGGTGCCGTAACTGTCTCTAGGTAAATGTCATTGCGAGGCAAAAGTTCCATAAAACGTTCAAACTGGAAACGGTCTACGAAATCAAATTTTATAATAAGTACTTACCAAATATATACAATACATTAGTATTGTTCTATTATTTACATGTGCAGGAAGTACTTTGTACGCACACGAAAACCAACACATCATATGAATTCCGTCATTACATTAAATAATATATTATCATGGATACATATAATTTTATACTTTGATTATAAAAAAAATAATTTAAATAACGCTAAAACAATTGATAATAAATATTGAAATATGTCATAATATATTTAAAGAAAGAATTAGGTAAAATTATTCTCATAATATTGAAGCTATGTATTTTTTATGAACTCCAATATAATGAATTGAATAAATAGTTTCTGAAAAACAAATTAATGATATGGTTATGTATAATGTATATGGTTATTTACGTAGATCTCGTAATTATAATTATAAAATAACTTATTACGGAAATCGTGTGTGTACTTCTTATTAACAAAAAATCTTTGTCTCAAACAATAACAGGTAACCAAACCCTTAAATATTTGAATTAATCGGGTTTATACAAATCTTACCTTTTATGTATTACATTAATCGAACTTAATAGGATCAAATTATTATCTTCATACTTTATAATACTCATAGCTTGAATGTTTTAATTTTAATAATAAATCATAACTAAAAATCAACAATTCAGTAATACCTAATTATTTTTTTTTGGTATTTTGGTCAGTTGCTTGATAACTACGTCACGACAGTTAGGCCCTGCATTTTCTACTGTTAGAATATTCCTCAAAAACAAATCTTCAATGTTTATTGAAAATTGTATATAGGTATCTTAAATGATACGAAATCTAGCGACACACGAATAACTTCATGTAATACATAAGAATAGGCGAATGAGGTAAATCAACACATTTATTATGGCTATATACTTTTTGAAATCCTTATAAATTTTACTTAATTAGTTAAATTTTATAATAGATCCACATCAGACTATAATAAAATAATCAGTTATAGAGAATTCAAAAAGTACAAGGCCACACTTAGGTACATACTTGAAGACTTCTTAAAGGTACTTAAAAAATGTAAAGCTAAAATGAAGTGTACAAAAATAGTGCGACATGAGAACTTATCCGTAATGGGTACGCCATGCGTTAGATGAATTTCAAATTCGACTAAAATCGTCTATTTACTACACAAATATCACACAATCCATTCGCAACACACTTCACTCTCGAATAATTGTCCCTGGATTCAAGTAGACCAATAGAAAATGATATGAGTTATTAATCACGGCGCGCGCAGACATACTTTTGCCTATATTTGAAGCAAGTAAAGCGAATACCTACTCATTTAATTTAGTACTATAATTGGAAAATTTATTCAATAACTCCTTAATTGTTTTTAGACATTATGTTTACATGAATGAGGCGGTAATAATAACTATATAAAGTCAAATCTATTGTAGAAGATGAATAGTGAAATAAAATTCCAAATTTCATTATACATATATAAAGTATGAAATAATTTAGACTATAAAAATATATTCGAAATTCGTTGGTTTTGAATAAAACATTCTAATTTAAAAATTTGGCTTGTCTATTGGCCTTCGAAACAGGGTATGGACGCAATCCACATTTAATAAGACGTGTTTCACTATATCACAATGTCATATTCATATTTCAATTAATTTAATTTAAATCATTTAAATGACAAAATTTATTAGGATCCCTCGGCATTGCGAGAACGTTGTTGCAAAGTAGACCGACGACAGGGTTCTCGAGATTTTCATATTTCGAATTGGTCTCTGATGAGAGACTGACGGCGCCACTGCTATCGCCTTCGTACGTGTTTTCCGTATCGTCCACGTTTTGAGAACTGAGACTCGATTTGTCATTCTTTTCATTCATATGCTCCCTTTCCTGTACCGAATAATCAATTTTCTCGCCGTTATTAGCCATCTCGATCCAATGAGCTTTATTGCTTTTCACTCGATCGAGTAATGGCTGCAACGCTGGTGAAAGTACCGCGAACGCCTAAAACCAAGACAATTTGTATATTAATCATAATACAAACAAGGTACACTTTGTAAAAATTCAACTGCGTCGATATCTCACATTAAAATAATAGATCGAGTATTTAATTATTACTCTAAAATAATCCAATTATTGTAACAAACAATATTTTTTTGTTCCATTCACAAAACTGAGCTGACTAAATAACTTAATTATTTTAATTAGTAGTACAAATAGTTTTCGTCACTACTATTTGTATAATATCAGTACAACTGATTTGAGGATTTGTACCAGTACTACTGATCAGTATTTTAGTACAATATGTTACACGAAAAATATTATGCTCTTCATGTCTATAGGCGACAGCTATTGTTTTTCAACAGGTGGTGGTGGTGATATTGTTATATTTGTAAATCTTAATATATGTATATTATGTTTGTCACCTAACTCCTAAATGGCTGGACCTATTTCGATGAAATATTATGCTCATATTTCACTGAGTTCTTTTTATTAAAAATACTAATAATTAGGCACTACTTTTCCGGACGAGATGAAGTCTACCGGGTCCGCTTAGTGTATAACAATAATGTTGAACAATATAATATATTTCGGACCCATTAAAAAACAAAATAATACATACATATTTTTATATCAAAATATGTTAATATATTATTTTATGTACTTCCTTACCTCATAAATAGGCAGACAAATAGTATCAATAAATTTGACTTGCATAGCGGGGAGTTCGTCTTCCTTATCTCTATTCATTAAGTCCTGAAAGCAAACGTAATGACTGTATTTTATCACTATTAACTTAGAGAATATATACCTATATAAATGACTTTTCTAGAACATTCTCATAGTAAAATTTACTTGTAAGTGTGAAGTATGACATTAATTCGAATGACATTCGTCCAACATTTCATTAAATTATAACTAAACGTTCTCTAACATACAACAAATAATAATTTCAGTTTTACTATCTTTGGAAATTAAGTTCTGATTAATGAAATCATATAAAATTAGTTACTATGTTACTGAATGAATAGATGGATGGATGGATATTTGTTACTTTTTATGCAAAAACTACTGAACGGATTTTGAAACTTTACAGTAATATAGCTTATACATCAGAATAACACATCGGCTATAAATTTCATGCGGGTGACCCCGCGAGCACAGTTAGTTTCAAAGTAAACAAAATAAAGATGGCATTAATAAAATAACTAATTATGGTGGTAAAATAACTAACAAAATATTTCGTTTATGAAAGAACTTACTATAGGCGTCAGATTTAAATTCTGCCTCTCCAAATCGCCCTGTCTAAAGAATTCTCCAGCTACCAAAGCGGCAACCCGTCTTTCAACGGGCCAAGGTTTTGTTATAGCGGCGAGGTCGCACGCTGTCATCAGCATGGCTCGGAGTAACCCCCGCCGCTCCTCACACTCACCCCACGCTGGACTCACTGTTCTATCGACGCTCACTAGGTCGATGAAAGGTTTGCGTTTACTGAAAATAATAAATATAAATAAATAAATAACCCTGGACAATTAACAGTGTCATCTTGTCCTACGGTAAGCAGAGCTTGTGGTATGGGTACTAGACTAGACTAACTAGATATTAGTTATATAAATGCTTATATACCTTTTTTTTGTAAATACATACATACTATACATATAAAACACCCAGACTGATACAAAAACTCATACTCACGAATACAAATGTTTGCACCGTGCGGGGAATGGAACCCGAGATAAAAAAAATTGCTTCTTCTAATCACCTAATGGTGACAACTATGAACTTTTACAAGTATTTATCTACACGTTAACGATATCGTATTACATATTACATAAAGGGTAAGAAAGTCTATCACAGACTATAGGTACATGTGCTGATATATTTACGCAACCCTGTTGGACCAATTCAATTACTCATGATAAGTGTCAGAGTGCCACGTATTTACACAAGGGGTTGACTTTTGGGGGCAATGTGTTTACCTGTGAAGAAGTTTTTGTCTTTTATGAAATAATGATTCTCATTTAATTATATAGATATAACCTTTATCGTTAAGTAATTAAAAATATAGGTTAAAATTATAATATAATGTATTCTTATCGAAGATTAAAATTATAAAATAAGTAATTGGTCTTAGTATGTCAAAAAAGTAGAAGAAAAATTTCGCTACTAGTGCAGATTTATAATTTAATATTTCACACTTATATCTAGAAAAAATTGCATTGTATTCATTTTTATATATAATATTAAAATATTAACTAAATAATAATACATATATTTATTTACCTAAAATATACAGCTAAATCGGTGGATAGTATAGCATCTTCGAGTACTTTCACTACTCTTTCATAGTCTTCGGAGGATAGATTCGCGAGAACCTGGTTTCCAGGCGAGTTCAGAATCATCAAACACTGATCAAAGTGATGATGCTCCATTGTCGATGTTGAGTACAGTTGTGCCAAAGGTGACGATGCTCTGAGGAAAAGATAAGTAATATTCGTGTAAGGTATTTACTTCGACATACAATTTTACGTAAATATATAAATATTAAAAGAGATATTGTTGGAGAATGAATACATAATACCATAATAACAGGGGGAAAAGGCTTGATAAGAGCAAGGCTGGAATTATAGACTTTTTTCCTAATTCCAAACAATTTGATATTGACAGATGTTCAAAACACTTCGAGTAATGCGACCTTCGGAGAGCTATTAATTAAATTATTAATAATGTTATCTACTGGTATAAACATAGTGTCTGAAGTTTTGAAGTAATAATACGTAATTATAGTAATAAAAGTAAAAAAGATGATGAATAATGTGCAAGAGAATTAAATGAAAATATTGTATATATTCATACTTAATTTGAAAAGAGTTATTGGTCCCTCGGTGATCAAGATCGTGACACAAACAGCCGATGATTAGAGCCAAACATTCTAGCTCCCCAAATATCTTCCACCACTGGGTCTCCTGAAAATAATTAAGCAACCCTATAGTTAAATTCAAGGAGGACAACGAAGAGTTACCATCATGAAAGCTACTATCACTCTGTCGATTGTGTACGACTAAGAAAGAGAATAGTTAAATTCAAAGAGGTGTAGTATTATAGAAGCAACTAATGTTCATTGAAACTTTACATTGATCAATATATATTGTTACTGCAGAAATTCGAAATCTAAGACTGTATAATAATCAATAAATGATTTATTACACAATAATTTTACAAGTTTCGGAGGTATAAACTTATAAACTTACAGTCAATATGGCGAACATCATCTGAGCAACGTTGAACGCGTGCCTCCAATTATGGTAGGTCACGTTCCTGTAGTTCTTCTTAACGCTTAGCAACCACCGGCAGAGCACACTGTAGTCGATATGAAATCGTTCCACGAAGTCTAAGTCCAAGAACATTCTAAGGCATGCCTTTAGAGTATCGTCGTCGGTTAGGTCGATATCATCAAATTCAAGCTCATGAAGACTGAAGTGTACAGAAGAGGGTATCCTTAGAGTCTGAAAAGTAAAGAAGGGGCTCGTTAAGTCCTGAAAATATTGGTAGTTTATATTTGAAATTACGGGATAAGAAGGCGTCTGGAATAGCAACACAAGCTTTGATATCACGCATGTCATATGATATCGTGATGACCGTACTGCTGTTTAATAGACAACACTTTCCATTAGCGCGCTGTCAGCTTATTTGCCATTCCAATTATATAAAAAAATAAGTACCATTTATTTATAGTTCATAAGGTCTTACAACTTATTGTACAATTTGGTCCGTCAGTCCAACTGCAATAGTGTTATAAATAAAAATTAAATTAAAAAAATTTACAAGTGATGACAATTAACACCCTTATTGGATAATGTTATGAAGTTACATACATAGATATATGTATATAGGAATATTCTCAATTCGCAAACAGCGCGCGCGGAATGTTGAACATTCCACTTAACATTCCACGCGGACAGTACATTTCAATAAATTGATATGTCAAAATGTTGCTACTTTGTATTACTTGAATTTCAATAACTCCTAAGTAAAAAAAAAACTATATTAATTAGTCAACCTAATAATATCAACAGGATTGTACTTATAATAATAAATTATGCAAACAGATGAATAAACTCACCCGTAATCGCTGAGCGTCGTCTAACGAGGCGGATGCGTGGTAACTTAATACCTGTAATTTAATGAAAAAAATAATCAGAATCTATTGATATCAAGTCAAGTCAGTAAATATATTCATATGGTACATATATACTTTTATAAAACATCGTTGGCATATTAATTTTTGAAAGACAAAAAGAAGGAATAATTAAATTCTATTAAGACTAAGATACGGATAAAATGGAAGATATTAATAGCAGATTTCGTTCATTAATTCCTTTTTAAGACTTCATAATTTTATTTTCCCTGTACTACACAGATTCGTTATAATTCATTTTTTGTTTTGTTACATTGGATTTTTCTAAAAATATATGGACGGAAATATCTTAAATATACGTGATGTTCACTCATAAATACATAAAAGTCATCGTAAAAATATCAAGAAGTTCACGAACGTTCAAGTTCAGAACGTTTTTGAAACAATATTAAAGAATTTATGAGCCTAACGGCTCATCTGATAAAGAACATTGGTATCGCAATGTCGAAGAAACTGCAGGTTCTATATTCTTAGATTTATAAATAAATATATCACAATACAATTTTCAATTTCCACAAGCTTTATAGACTCAGATATTTTAAGCAAAAATGAAACTTCATTAGATAATTACTATATAAGAGTGGTACTAAGCGCTTTAAATAATGCTATATTTAAATTGGTTAAACATCGTACTTGGTACGTGTAATTTATAATTTATATTATTCATATATGTACTTATATATAAAAACTTTAGTAGCGAGGTTTTGAATGCCATTATTATAGTTTTATTTTATTTACATTTACATTACATTACATTCACATCGTTTTTAGCTGAATTGTTTACGTATTATTATTGAATACGTATTTAAGTTATTACAAATATATACTTTTTGTGAAGTAGACGAATAGTATTTAGTAAGAATAGTACTTTAAAACATAATCTTACTCTAATAATAGTAGATGATTTTTAATAAAGGTTATATAATTTTCTTCTTACTAATATTATAAATGCGAAAATTTGTGAGTATGGATGGATAGATGTTCGTCACTCTTTCACGTAAAAAACTTCTGAAGGGATTTTGAAGAAATTTACAAAAATAGATTATATATGTACATCAGAATAACATACAACCTCTCATTTAACACTAGGTTTACGGGACCCGTCAATTTGACGGATTTCAAACTTTGAAATGAAACACGCAAAAAACCATAGCATTAATCTTAACTATTTTGCATCGTAAATTTATAATTTCATTAAAAGAGTTTATACGCACAATTAGTATTTTCCTAAGCTTTATAAATTTTGAAAATTGTATCTTGTATACCTATTTCTACGGAACCCGTCAATTTGACGGGTTAGCTGATTACGTCAACAATCCTTATATATTTGCTTCGCTTGTAAAATTATACCTCTAAATGCAAATATAAGACTAAAAGAAAGGGTTAAGACCCCGCCCCCCCTCCAACTCATAGTCTCAATAGCGCCTCGATAACGAATTGTGTAGCCCGGGTGTCAAATCCTCGCGTTATTCGAAACTCAAAGCGTGCAGCAGACTAAATGTCGTATCGAAAAGATATTCAGTTCATGTGTTGGTGCAAACATAAACAACACACACAAGGAACTTTCACAGACTTCGGTAGCAGATGGCACGCAAATATAGTGTGAAAGCAGGGTGTTTTCGATGGCCTCTCCAAGTTTTTTATAATATTTTAGATTTGGCAGCGATAAACGCGTGGATATTGTACAAAGAGTGTACCGGATCGAAAATATCCAGAAAGGAGTTTATATTTTCTTTAGCCGATGAATTAGCTGGAAAAAACAAGGAGAACGTTCGTTACAGTTCAGACGTTTCAGATCGGTCACTTTCAACATCGGGAGTGCGAAAAAGTTGCCAAGTGGGCTACTGTAATAAAAATAGAAGCAGTAATTGCTGTATGTATTGTAAAAATATCGTATGCGGAAAATGCACAAAAGAAATTCAATATGTATGTAAAAAATGTCCTCGATAAATATGATTATATAGCCTTTATATTATTGTTATCATTTTCGTAATAACTTAACAAAAAATTTGACTTATAAGTATTTTATTTTTACGTGAAGCCTTATATTGTTAAACTCAGATTTAGTTTGAATAAATTGATTTTTTAAAAATAAATACGTATTTTCATCCACCCGTCAATTTGACGGATGCTCGTAGAGATAGATATATAAGAAACGCCCGTAAACCTAGTGTTAACATGATATTATGTACACTGGGCGAAATATAATGATAAATGTCAAATAAGTGTGATGTACAAAGTTGCACGGGTCAGCGAAGAACGAAGAACGAAGTGAATTTAGTAGACATAATAATACTTACATCAAGTGTAACACTCTGCTTTGCCATAGCTGTGATGGCCTTCTCATACATGTGCGTGTTGTGGATCCCCATACCGCAAAATATAGCGAATGCTTCGACGAAATTCTCGTCGTTTTTGGTGAAAAGCAGTTCATCAAATTTGTTGACTAGCTGTAACAATAAAATACAGTGTATATAAGTGTGATTTACTACTACACATTACAGTATCTGTACTAATATTATAAAGAGATGACAGACAGTGGATTTTGTTATGAGGGAAGTAAACTTTGAAATCACTGCAATGGTTTGATACATTATTTCACTGCATGATAAGTACATTATTCCAGAGAAATATACGCTATATAGTATTTAAATATATACAAAACACAAAAAGTAATGAGTGCTCTAGATTAGTCGAAGTCGCGATGTGCATTTTTTTTAAAACTGGCAAGAAGTTGCAAACCTTTTCTGGAGAGCAAAGATATTATTTCTTAATTCAATTAAAATTATAGCAAATTTGATATGTACCTAAGTTCCAGTATTTATACTTGCTTACGATTTTTCACGGATGATATTGATATCGTGAATATAGCTACTATTCAGCCACACTACATACTTTTTTTACCTTTTTCGAATGGGATAAAAGTTGACTGCTCACCTGATATATGTAATATTGGATATATGTAATATAATAGCATAGCACATCAGGTTATCATGTGACACCCGTGATACCACTCATGCGTAGCTACGCCTCACGCCATGATATCTTAGTCCTCTGGAGTAGCTACTCCAGAGGACTAAGATATCATGCCTCTTATCCTGTAATTTTACTGCACCCTACGACTAAAACAAAGCATGCTGTTCAACAACAGAAATAGGTGAGACTGTTACCAACTGACACCAACTGTTACAGATACCAAACGTTACTGATACCAACGCAAAAGACATTTTACAGTTTGTCTAATGTGTACTATTCTTTGAATATAAGAATCTAACAGTGTTAAGTAAGGCAATTCAATTCACTATGGAAGTACGTGTTAGTTTGTATATGAAACTGAATGACCAAATTACATCATAATTACATCCAGCAGATCGTATGCGAAGTACGAGTAATAACGTCTATAGACACTTTAATTAAGTATAGATTGTCGTATAATGCGGATAAAAGAGAGTCACGTTTCAAAGATACTGTACCGTATACTTAAAATCATTAATTACTACTACTACGACTACAGTTCAAAAGGCAAACTTTTCTTAGCAACGTGGAGCAAACTTTAAGGCGAGCGATTTTAAATTACATTGAAAAATAAATTATAATTAATTCAGCAATGTTATCTCCATAAGTATTATTATAACTAGCGACTCGCCCTGCTTCGCTTAATAACAACTTCCTCAGAAATCACTCTTTTGACGAATAAAAACTGCATGACTTTGTTTTATAATGTGTATAAAAAAATCTACCAGAATATAATGTACCTAGATTTTTTAATAATGAATTATTCTACTATAAATAATCAATTAGTAACTTCCCTTCATATTTTCTATTAAAAAATAAAATAAAAGAATCTTCAAAAATTTAATCTACAGACGAAAACTTTCCGACTTTGCTCTCCAAGTAACCATAATTTTGCAAGATAAAATACCTAACTGTATAATATATTGCGAACAGCATTATAAGGAAAGTCTATAAAACTCTCTGTTATGAAAGTGTTGTAATAACGAAATTATGGAAACAACTTAGTGGAGTTTGTTGTACGAGACCCTCTAATAAAGTCTAGGTTTAATATTCCACAATAAACGAGAGAGATATTTTTGATAATTTCGATTTAAAATGTCATTACACACAGCTGTTAGTTACAAATTTTGAATTGTCACTTTGTATGAGACGATAACATTTTACAAAAACTTTACATGAATATATTTAACCACAAAATAAGGGATTAAAATATTTTAGCCATAGTCACAATATTTACAAAGATAGTATAATTTAGTAAAATCACTATTTTTTTTAATACACAGACAGCCGAGGCCGGTGTCCACTTAGTGTCGTTGAGCCGACGAACTAAGTATTCATTTTAACATTTAACAAAAAAATATAATACGTAACATATAACCTACAATTATACTGAAACAATCGTCAATTCTCGACGAGAGTCGTCGTCGTCATAAATTATCCAATCCAAAAGCAGTCGATAAATTAAAAACATTAAATATTATTTGGACTTCAAGAATAAATTCATTTTCCAATTGAGTCGTATTATCTTAATACATAAAAAAATCATAACGTATGACACCTTCTGTGAAAAGATTTCGTAGTTCTGTAATAATTACTTTTCAATGAATTGCAATAAAGATAAAGTGACAGTGACATTTTGTTTGTATAACAGTGACTCACCTCACTACAGTCTTATCGCTTAAACTTTAATAGGTTGTGGTCCATTAAATGTAAGTACAACTATATAATCTCGTGGATGCTGTCACTAACTACCCTATGTGGAATATATGGAAATTAAAGCGATCAACTGTAATGTGTACCTGTTTGTAATCCAATACGACCTTTATGACATTCAAAATAAGGGTTCTTTGCCACAACTGTTGGTATATCTGTTATAGGCTCCTGCATATTCGTAAATGGTCAAGTCAAATGGTTAAAGATATTGCCCAAATGAAATTAAGGAACAAAATGACATCGTAAAAGCTAACTGATATTGCCTTATCCAAATTCTGTTTAGTTACTCCTATATCCGCGTACAAAATGACGTAACGAAACATAAAGTATGGGTTCGATGCAATTTTATACTATCCTGAAAATGACCTCGATCTTTTGTACCAGAATCTGTCGCATTGCGCAATAGTTCAATAAAAACTTTGCAGTTTTGGGTACATAAACATTTACCACAATGTTTCTGTTCTATTTAACTAATTGTAACATTTACTTGCTAAATCCACAAGAATAGTTATATATACACTGTGCGGCGTTTAATAGATTAACTTGAGTCCGGGCGAAATCCGGATATACATAGATATATACCTGAAGGCAAAAATGTAAGATTTCTCAAAGTACAATAATTCTTCATAAGCGAATTATGTTTCTATATACGGGAATTATGTTAGACAATTTTTAGAAATCTTTGATGGAAAAATTTATTGTAATCAGCACTGCCAAAAATTTGAAGACTATCCAAATAAATATTTGAATCGGATTCATTATTTGACTTCTTATATAAAATTAGTTTTATAAGTATAACGTTTTAAAGTTTTACGGAGTCGTATAATAGTATATTTTTCAATAACGTATTATTTCTAAAATTTATTCATAGGTTTCATGGGATAATTTACAATATTTGTTAGAGTGAACCTAACAAATAATGTATCATATTACATGATATCTAAACATTTATCTATAGAAATGTACGTATACAATAGTGCATTAGTTTTCAGTGGCTATAAATTAGTACCTACTGTAACTCTCGTATTCACATTTTGAATTGGCAAGACAATTTATTACTGTCACTTCGTATTCAGTCGCAGAATAACCATTATCTCTGAATGCTTCACTCTACGCTCTTTGAATATCACAAACGCTGTTTCCTACGTTAATCACTTAATACAATAATTTATGACCAAGTATCACGAACATGTGGAATAATTATGATGAGAAATATGAAAATTATCGTTAGTATGGTTTTGATATCTAGTCATAACACTCTGATAGGTACGATACATCGCTTTAAAGTTACTTTATATACTCAGATGATAAAACTACATCTACAAGAAAACTACGGCATTTACGGCTCAAAAAACGCTGACCTTGTTCGAAATATGCAGATGGTCAAGACGTTCTATATAAGGTAAAGCCAAGGTGAAATAGAATAAAGCAGAGAAAGATTACTGATCATAACAATGATTAAACTTTGAAAGAGAAAGTAAAGTATGATACGTATGCCTAATTACTTGTATTACCTATTGAAAAAATCGACTTAACTTATAGACATTAAATATATACATATTACAGCCGATTTCCAAGAATTTTCTTTACTTATTTCAAGTACAGCTCAATACAATTCTAATTAATACAATCACATGTAATTAAATAGTGTTAGTAAGATATGTTTACATTACACGCATGCCTAATTCCATATTCATTTACATGCCCATTGTCACATAAATGAGGGAGTAAACAAAGTATGACAAATGACTGATGATGAAAATAATTTAACGAGTTATTCATGAATTAGTATAGGAATCTAAAGATACAGTGGAAAATTTTTGGCGGTTTAACAAAACATCCTACACGGATTCAATTTTGGTTAGATTGGAAGTCTATAGTATATAGAATATTATAAAGGGACAGAGAGAGGATTTCGTTATGAGTAAAATAAACTCTGGTACTACCGCACTGATTTGTGAAATTCCTTGTTCGAAAGGTACATAATTTTAGAGTGACATAGACCATATATTGTATTAAAGTATATACTCTAACATTGTTTTGAGAGGGTCACTAGACTTCAATACACCATCAAAAGACTATTTTCACCTATACCAAATATATTCTAAGATTTCACATAACCTCTGTCATAAATCTGTACACATTTGTAAATTAAGTAGTAGGAAATTGAATAAGTGAAGTATTAATTATCTTATTTGGTTAGCCGCTTTGACGGCTGGATTGTATTGTTAAAAACTAATTAGGTATAGCCGATCATTGTCTACATTTTTATTTATAATGTAAATGTACATAAAGTATAGCTAATTCAGCATTACCTTACATATATATATTATGAACAATGGTTACACTTTTATTATGCATACAAAATATGTGTATATTATACAATGATATAAGAATATAATATGTACCTGGATGACTCCAATAATTCTTCCCTCGGAGTTTTTGATAGCCATACACAAAATTGTATTGTGTTTAAAACCCGTGCCATCATCCACTGAGGGGTCAAATCGTGCGTCTAAGTAGGCATCTGCGATGTTTACTGTCTGTAAGAAATACTTTCGTTAAATAAAATCTTTATACATATCTATAAATATTTTATAAATTTATAAGAAAACGAAAAATATCTGAGTGAGGTTTATAAAAAATATTTGCAGCAAAAAATTTTCTATAAGAGGAATGATGATTTTTCGAGGCGCTGAAATATTCTATTCCCCAGAAACGGGAAAATTATAATGCCTTTTGTGTTTTTTATCTACAGTATGTTATAATATTTTAACACAATTTATTCGTTACAACGCGCTTTAGTTATTTTATTGTATTTGTATATTAAGGTATATTTTAGAATAAAATTGAGGGAAATTATTGATGAACTAATTTAACGAAATTCACCGAAACAAATGGAAATAATTGGATTATTTTTAGTTACAAAAAAATAAAATAAGTTATAGCCACATTTTATGTATCGCAAGATAGTTTTATTTTATATTATAACATACATAATATACAAGTCAGAATAGCGAACGTAACAAATTAAAAATATGGTCGCAGTGTATTCAAGACGGCGTCATTAAATTGGAATTAAGTCTAGATTACTTTATGTTATTTAGCATTCGAGAAAAAATAGCATTAAAAACAAAATTACCTCGCCAGTTGTAGCTACGTAGCCGGTGATACCGATGTTGATGGGAAATCGGCTCTCATACGGAGAGGTCCGAGGGGTGCCAGGTTCCGCGTCATCACCTGCTTCTAAGTCGAAAACTCGGGAGAAACTTCCTTTTGAAGCTTCATGGACCAGTAATACCTGCGATAATAATAATATAAGTAAATATATATATATACATAACTTGTAGTGCTCATGACTTAGCCCATGTGTACATTTGTAAATCGCCATCTATTATATGTTTAATAAAATTGTAGGTGGCGCATTGGACATTAAACATTTTCACAAAATGAATTATTGCCCTCTTCTTTTATCCAACTTCTTTATCAACAATATCCTATTTATATGTTAACATTGACACACAAATAGACAGATTTCCTCTCGTCATGATTTTACAAATATTTTTCTAACGACGGATAATAAGATAAGCATGATGTCTGGTCAGATAATCCATAGTGAAGAATTCATCATGGTTTCTGGTAAAACATGTATAAGAGACATACATTTATTGTGAGTAGTAACTATTCTAGTGTCATCATAATACCATGATATTTTCATAATAATATTTTCTTCCATCCTTATTAAATATCAGTTGTGAAGTTTTAAGGTTCTAATTACAACATTGTGTAAATACCAATTTTAAAATTATAAATTTATATATGTACATATTTTTAAATGATGAAGTAAAAACCGTTCCCGTTTTGATTTACTTAAAAAACATCTGAAAACGCAAATTAAACGCAGTATCGTGTAGTTTCGTGAGCTTGTTCATTTAAATGCAAATTGAGGTCAAGCATAATTTGAACCTACAAAGTATTAATTTAACTTGAAAACTGGACTGAGACAAAGAATTTAACGGCACAAATAGAGGTCATTTTAAGTGTGATTTTGAATGGAATTAGATTGAGAATCAAATCTAATGACCGTAAATACTAATCCTGTCAGATGGACTGTAAATAAAGCTCAAAAATATTTGACATATAAATTTTAATTTAACTGAATGAATTTGACAAAATAGAGATTCAAGGATAGTCTAATCCAATTTTATAAGAAACTATTTTGTAACAAGCTTGGATATAAGGAATCTAATTTATCCAACAAGAATTCTTCTAGGAACCTTACGAATAGCGCAATCTTAAAGGGATTTAGAAGCACATGAGCTAGTTAAGGTCTTCTGAAATGTGGGGTCTTGTGGCAAATATGTTTATTGGTGGCAAGTATAGTTGCACCGGACCTCTATTTCAGGAGTATTACATTTTCCACCGGTATATACCACACGATGTGGAATATTCCACGCGCGCTCAGAAGGCAAAAGGCTTTCAAAGTCTTACTAGTATTGATTTACAAATACTAGAAAATCTATACAAACATTATAAAAGCTATATTTTCAATATCAGCAATTATTGGTTCGATTGAATAATTTGTATTTCGAATAGAAACACATAGCCTCTTTATTCAGAAAGACTAGGCAATATAACATCTAATATCAGAAGGAGCGCATCAATAACAAATAATATAAAAACGGGGAAAATATAACGAAAACGAAGTTTCACTGGTTCAGTTGGTAACTTATAATTTGTTAGTAAAATAGTAATAGTAATAGCAGTAAAGCCTAAATGGTGAATACTTCCAATCTGCTCCGAATTTCGGTGACTCGGTTTAGCTATGCAGTTTAATGCCGGTATAGACTTTGTGATGATGTGAGGTATGAAATGGCGACAATCTCAGCAAGGATATACGACTCCCGAATGTCAGAAACTGAAGGCTACATTTTATAAATCATTTATAAGACCTGACGTTTTGTATATATCTGAATGTTGGGCTGTAAAATATGAAAAACGTAAGAAATGATTGAGATATTGAGATAAGTTTGAAAGTTGCGCCAGTTATAGACAAGTTATGAAGTAAATATTAAAAAAAACTTAGATGATCGAACGAACGAAAGAAAAAATGGATGTACTTTGTGCAAGAATGTATAAAAGGAGAAGCTAAGTTATGACGGTCGATAGGGATCAGTGAAAGCAGATAGCAGACTACGCCGACCTCAAATAATGATTATGATGACGTTGTAGCAGTAAATATGTACAATCAATTAAATTAGTAATATAAATTAGCAGGGATATGCTAATTTTATGCAAATGTTCATTACTATGAAGTCAGACAATGGCATAGTAACTACTCATTGTAGTTAAACGGAAGTATTAAATTTATATGCGTATATTGTTATTGTCTATCCTAGTACTCGGCTTTAACAAAAACAAATATAACAATATAGAATAGTATAATAAAAATCGAGTTAATAAGTATTCAGTATTTTTTAACACACACTTTTTTTAACAAATAATAAAAATATAAGGTATTGTTACTATTATATTATAATAACTATGGCTAAAAAATGTATCTACTATCAGTACACTCCCAAGGGTTGAAAAAAAAAATTGAAAATTATAATGGTACGAATAATATGGCATATTAGTTATGATGACTTAACTGTAATAGTTAGAGATATCGTAGTCATATTTTTGTAAATATTGATGTTCTCTACAAAACTGTAGTCCGGTTGCTCTATTGTCAATAATTTGCGAAACGTGCGCGATGAAAGGATTTTTTATTGGTATTTTTTCACATCTGTAACGTTTTTAAAAATATTCTATACGCTATGGTCATCCGGGATAATGTAACTTGTCAAATTGGTCCAACAGATTTAGGGTCTATTGAATACAAACAAACAAATCAAATCTTACCTCTTTAGATCATTTCAAGTATATATATGAAACGATATTAGGATTTGTCCGTTCGTAATTGAAGTTGTATTTATTCATTCATTTGCATTCCATAGTGTTTCATTTAGTTGAATTCTAATTAATTTTAAACAGATAAACTGAAATTAAAATTTTGAATCTAGACGTAAATTAATCTCAATATTGTTGAATTGTTGACTAAACAATAGAAATTTCATTCTAAACCAAATTTGATTTCCGTTCACGTATATAAACGACCGATTTAATCTAATTTTCCGACCCGATTCGAAAATGCAAATTTTATTGTAAATACCGTATCCTGAGTTACAGATCAATAAAAAAGCCACGACTGGAACACCACATACATAACATACCGTCATGACTGTTATCTCAGATGGGGTAGTCAGAAATATTGTCAACTGTCGATGTTGTTGCAACACGCGACCTGCCTACATTTTAATGTGTATTTTGATCCAACGTTGATATGGGCCTGCCTATATTTTGGTTTGGTATTTCCTTCACCGGTGAATCAATCATAAATATATATAAATTGACTGAGATAGTTTTTTAATGTAGGACAGTTTGGAACGCATGATCTCTCGGTTGTTAGTCAGGAGAGAAGACCTAGATAATGATGGTTTTTAACACTGACTGCACAAAAAATATGTTGAAAAAATATAAAAAATAAAATTTTAAACACAGAAGTTTGACGTCATCTTTGATAAGTAAGAACAGCTTATAAATTAATCTACGTGGCGGCTGATATAGGTGAAAAAGAATTACCCACGCAGACTACTTAATACTAATTTTATTAAACATGGTTCTCTGTGTTGTTGTACTTAGAGCTCTGACTTGACTTTAGATCTGAGCGTGGAATATAATTAAGCGAGTTAGTGAATATTATTGCTCAACCAAAAATACTTTTCGATAATAGGAATCTCCTAAATTTTCCGTTGCTTCAGAATCCAATTATCTAAGTATAAAATGAGGAAAATAAGAATATAATTTAAATGTATTATAATTATTTTATACTTGATGTTAGCCGCCACATCATGCCTTTTTTACCATAAAAAAATTATCTATCCTTGAGGTACAAACTATTTTCACGTCAAATTTAATTATGTCGCGTTCAGCTATTTACTCGTGAAAATTAAAGAAACAGTCAAATACACTTTCGCATTAGTAATACTTATAAGAATGAAATTTTGATATTAATATAAAAAAATTGTCTAAGCTAATCGTTCATTTAGTTTAGGGTAAATATAGGTATCTAATATCAAGAGCTAAGTAAAGAAGGTTATTAATTTTATGATAATCTTATCATAAAAGTATACAGTGTTTTCCAAAGCACTTGAGAAACTATTATAGAAACGATTGTCTACTTAATTCTAACATTAACAGACTATGAACATATTTAAATCAGAAAAACCAATATTTACGTTAAAAATAATGTTGGTAAATCAAAGCCGATCATCGTAATTTGTCTATTCTCTTCCTATATAACCCATATATTCCTATAACGCAGATCTAACCCAAGTTAGACCTGCGTTATTGCGATATATTTGTAGCAAGAAATAATATCCAATTAAAAACGAAGATTTTACCTATGTATATTATGTTAATATCAAGTAAAGGAAGTTTAAAATAATAAAGAAAGATACTAAATACTTTTCACAAAGAGGTCGCATGAAATGTCTAAAACCTTTCTTCGAGATTTCCCAAGAGTGAATATTTTGGATGTAGCTGATCGTATTCCATTCTCATTAGGACTCCTTTCCACCCTTTTTCTACTGATTTTCTTATGTTTCGCATTATTTAAAAGGGAGACCATAGCTGAATGGAAGTTTCGCAGGGTCATTTTGGGTTAATACCTAACATTAAGCCTGTAGGCGCGAATGTACTATCACGTTTTAGTCCGCATTTAAGTGGTCGCTAGGGAACTTACCCCACAGTTATTTTGCAGACATGAAACCCCTAAACAAGCATTTTTATTCCAGCCATACCTACTCATAGATTGAGTTGGGAAACTTTTATGACCAGTCATTAAAGTATCGAAAAGAAAATATATTATTTTACCAAAGCGGTTGGCTTTCCTTCAAAGGAAATTTTTCTCGCCAGTTGAATTTCAAAGTGTGTCATCGAAGCGGCAAAGCGATTGATCAAGTTATGCCATCCTAAGTATCGAACAATGTTATTATATCGGATGTTGGTCACGACGATCCGTGCGTTTATTATGACTTAAAAATTTTTGTTTGTACAAGAAATGAGAGATAAACTTTGTCAATTGAGAGGTAATTTTTATTTATTATGAAAATATTGCGAGTTGAAGAAATCAATAATTTTCTCTATAAATATTGAGTATTGTTTGAGATAAAATATTGATAGTATGTGTGCAGAATATTTTGTTAAATTTTGCATATGGTTGCTGTAGTGAACAGAATAGTAGGTTTTAGTCACAATTTTAAGCATATCCACATGTAACCTAGTTGAGAACAAATCAACTTGATTGCCTCTCGTAATATTTAGATTTGTTAAAAGTATTGGTATTAATCGATATTCTCAGGACGTTTGTCGAAAAATTCAAACAATTCAGATTAGTACCGTTTCATAACCATTATAGAAATATCACGGTAAAAAAGCAATCTTTACGTTTACTACTAGAATTTTGTCAATTTCTAATAATAGAAAAATTAAAAATATCGCTACATTCTTATTTGAAATATAAACGCCGACGTCTAGTAAGAGACAAGTATGTGTTAAATGACAGATAATTCTCTATTAGTATTCATCTGACAGAATCAATCGACTAGTCGAGGTGAGCGTGGCGCCAATGTCAACCGGAGACAATTTAATCATCAATGATGGACATCGATTAAATTAAGATTACTTAACAGAGATTGATAAAAATTATGCATAGTGAATCTCTAGGCAAAAATCTTAACTTAAACAAATACGTGGAAGTAAAACACTGATCTCTCAAAGAGTCGTTTAAATTTGTTTAGTATTAGCAAAAATATCGCTTAATAATATCGAACCCAAATAAGAGCCGAAAGGAAATAATGATTAGATTAAGAACATGTTATATTGAATAATTAAAATATGAATCGATTCCTAACTTAAATAATAAATATTCAATCTTGGGTTTATCTAGGTGTTGTTATCTAGTTGTTTGTTGTCTTTGTTTAGCTGCTAATGACGTAGAATAACATCCTTACCCTGTAGAACCTGTAATCTAGCCCTCTTTTTAATATATTTTACATTAAGTAATGTATTAAGAATAAAACTTGCAAATAGTATTAAATAAATCTCAAACTCAATTTTGAAAGCTTTTAATGCAGGATAAGTATGTAACAATTTATTTCACTTTAATAAAAATAAATTTAATGGTTAAAATATGACAAGAATATAATTACTTTATAATACATAAAAAATATGAACAGTAACATAATGAATACACATATACCTACGTAGCTACATGGCGTACCATGGTTATAGCTCGTAGTTGATATTAATGAAAATCTCCTTTTGATGTCAAAATTAATTTACGGAACAAAGCCAATAATGACTTGGATGTGTTTGATACAATAACTCACGTCTACAGCGTAAACCAATTTCGTAAATATGTACTTAATTGTAAGGGTATAAATTTTGTGACCCCTATTGTAATTTGCTTTAACTATTAATTTACTGTACATTAGCTTTAAACAATTTATAGGTTGTGCCGGCGTATAATTTACATTTTAGCGATCTTGGTTGTCCAGCGGTTTGGCACATCGCTTTACTTCCGATGGTTGCGGGTTCGCTTCCTCCCACGATACAAATATTCATATTTATGAGTATGATGATTTGCATTGATCTGGGTGTTTAGTATGTATTTTATATCAAACTGTGTTGTGGGTACAGTTGACTAGTACCCACAACACAGTTTGAGACTAGATGGCGCTGTATCAATTGTTCATGGATATTATTATCATATTACATTATTATTATTACTTCATACATAAGAGTCAGTCAATAATATACCTACTACACTAGATCAACGAATAATAGAATATCGTAATTTTGGAGAATCTAATTCAAAATAAACAAAAAACACGAAACAATTAAAAAAATATATTTTATAATTGGTCAACAGAATGCCACTGAATTTGTAAAATTATAATCCATTAAAAACAAAATTGATAGATGTTTAATAAAGCCCCGGCCCATAAAATACACGAATTCGAGAGCAATTTCTCATCTGGGTTTATGAATAATATCGATAATGTAAATTTAACACCTTTCGCCTTTTCCAATGTTTATTCAAAAGGACCCCGATTCGTTGACGCTAGAGCGGATTAATTTTCGTTTATTACCTAATGAAAAAGCATTAATTTACGAATTGAATAACTTGTATAACTGTTGTTTAATTTGATTAATAATAACAACAGGTAAGTCATGTCTTTGAAAAATCATAATGACACATTCGGATTACTGTACTAACTACGGATTAAAAAACAGCTTAAATTAGTAATATTCAATGTGGCTTTTAAAATTTAATTTAATTTGAAACTCGAAAAGACTAAATTGAATTTATTACCTATAGGTATACTAGTTAGAACGTTGAAGGCTTTTAGCTTCGTTGGAGTAAATACTATTAGGCTAATTCTATACAGTAATCACATTTATATTTTCTACACTGCCTTTTGAGATACGAGTATGTAAGTTATAATAGTTAAATAGGTTTAAAATATGATTTTAAGATGCCCTCTAAAGCTATTTTAATTTTATATAATGTAAAAAGGCTTCTATCAATACCACCATAGTGTACCTTTACTCTATTATACTACTACTTTAGTACTAAAAAAATACTTCCCTGTGCAACCACGCAGGTTATAATTACAGACAGAGAGGAAATAGCTAAATAGTGAATTATTCGGGCGTCAAAAAATGTAATATATAAACAAGATTCTAAAGATAATACTTAGACTCACTATAGTGGCATCAAGGTGCAATTATCATTTCTACTCTTATTCTCATTAAACAGAGAAGAGACTAATTACATTTACTTACAAAGTTTACAACTATCATCGAATAGCTAGTCGGAAAGTTAAATTAACTCCATAATTATTGGAGGGCGCAATTTCTTATAGGACAATCTTAGCTTTAGTTGTAATTTAGAATTAGATTACTCTTACCTGTACCCGTTGACATCGTATTAAACTCTGTGTATGAGTCAGTATCCTTAACACCATGTGCTCAATTGTGCTTTGCTCTTCAAAGACCATCCTCGCCAGATCCAGTAGCACTTGGTTTCGTTTAACTTCCAATTGAGATCTTTCGTAGAGTTGAGCATTGCGCAAACCAATGCCGCAGAACTGAAGGTACGACGCAAATACTTTCTCATCGTACGCAGTAAATGGGCCGTCGTTTTGTTTGTTTATCACCTGAAAATTATTATTTAATTACCTATTTAAGAGTACAATATTTAGTGTGGTTTTTAAAAGGAAGTTGCTGATATTTTATTATAAACTATAAATATAAATTTCGTTCGTCAACGACTTTCAATACCAATTAAATCAATTTAGGATACATTGTCATACTTTCGATATTCACAAATTATTTAAATTATAATTCTGCAAAACAGACAGTTTTTGAAACACCGGTAAAAGGTAAATATTTTAAATTTCTGAATTCTTGGCTACACGAATTTTAATTTGGAGTTGATAGCGATTAGCCACAACTAACGTAAACGTAACGTAACGTAAGAATATTGACAAGTTCATTCGATTAATGTAGAAACGCAAACTTTAAAGCACCAAACAGATTGCAACGAATTAAATACTGTCTTTAGATTCATTTGACTTTGTAAGATCATGTATAATAACAACGACTATACAGATATTTCCTGTTCCTCAGTGCCTGTTGTTCTCAGGCGTAAAATTTTAAAATTATACTAATTAGTTTAATAATAAGTAACATTATAGTTTAAATAGTTATTTTTTGAAGTCTCTTGTTAATTAATATAATTAAGTTATTCAATTATAGATAAATATTACCATATAACTATCAGGCTAGCTCCTCGAGGATTACAGTCGCGAGCATATTTATTTTTACTTAGATATAATATTTACCTTTTATCTACTTTTTACATTTACAGTGTTACCACAGATTTACAGTTTACCATATTTTTACCATACCTGTGCAACGCCGATGACCTCTCCATTGATATCTTTGATAGGCATGCAAAGGAGTGATCTTGTTTTGTATCCTGTTTGTTGGTCGATGTCGTGATTAAACCTTTCATCCTGAAACAAAAGAACATTTTAGATGTTAATAAACCTCTAATCGCAATACGTGCTACTTCTTTCACTTCTTATGCTTATAGTGTATTAGTCAGCAACTACATATGTATTTATAATTTGGAAATTTCAATAGAAATATTAATTAAGTAAATTGACTAAATTAAAGATTACCTACTGCGTATACTTTTCTACATTTGTAGATTTCGCAAAATTTTCTCTGTCAGCAAATAAATACCTTCAGAATTTTATATGATTGCCATTGGATAATGGATTATCCATTTACCTGATTAGAAGCTAACGCAATAGCAATTCATTACACAAAATCACGAAATTAAAGACAAAATTAGACCCTGCGATGGGATACAGGGTAGGATATTACGAATAGATTAATAATTAGAGTAATATATTTTTAAAATAAGTCTGCTGACATTATAGTCAACAGCTTTATTTTAACATAGAATTGTTTAGTTATATAGTATACAGAAAATAAATTTTGTAACAAATTCAAAGTAAACGATTGTGAATGTAATTAAAATATGAAATTTACATTAAATTATGTTGTGGTCAACTAGACCCGATAACCCGACTACAAATTTTAATTAATTTACACAAAACTTTAATTAATTATACACATATTGCTTCCCTAGTAACTATGTCGATGGATGAAAACCGCATGAAAGTCCGTTCTGTAGTTTTTGACATTAACATGATGGTACGATGAATGAGAAACTTCGTTTTATAATGTGTAAGTATATATGCAATAGATAAGCAAAATAAGCACGTCAGGTTTTAAATACCTTTTCATTATGCTATATAGTCAAAATTTTTGTTAGAAAATTACATGAGAGAAGTGTATATATAAGTAAATAAATAATAATCTTTAAATGGTTATAGTACATGCGTATAAATTCAAAACATTTATTTAACCCTTTCTTCAGACCCGAATAATACAGGCTTATTGTATATAAGCGGACGGTTTCATTCAGTATAGTTCTTTACTATTCTAGTTACATAATAGAATGGCAAAGATTTAATCATAATAAAAATAATATATTACAACTTAATTATAGCTGTTAACGAAACCAATGTGGAAAAGCTAAATGTATAATGAAGTTTAGTAATCAGAGGACAGTGGCAGCGGTTAACCGCAATTGTCCTTCGTTTCCTGGAAACATGTGTTTGTTACCTCAGTCTAAATATTCTAGGGAAACCAACGCACTGATTAAAAAATATTTACAGATAAATATTGCTTAATTCTATCATTATTTACTAGCTCTAGTGGGGGTCTAAGTCTATTAGACTAAACCCAGAAGACCCCATTGCATCTGAAATACCATGTCTGGTTGAAGTTAACCACATGGAGGTCCATGCGGTTCCTATTTGAAACTGTCCGTGATAAATTCCCGGTAAAAATGTGACGATGGGAAAGACTTACTGATCTGACTGAATATTCATCTTAACAAATTCCATTTATGCCCCGTTTCATTATCATTCATTAAAAAACTTATTAGTACATATACATATATATATATACACGAATACTCATTAGAAAATACCCATGTTACTTACAAAGAGTAGGAATAACATAACAAACAGGTTCAATTCCTTTTTATAAATAAATACATTATACCGATAATTATTGTATATATATTTTTATTATTATAGGTATTACTAATCGTAATATAAGTGTGTATTCTGAAAACAAATTTTCCTCTGTCATGTGATTCTACCATATCAATATTCTAAGTATTTGACATTACGCATATTCGCTATAACATGCATTGTGTACATATGCAGCTATAGAACTGCGAAACCACATATATATGGCTGGAAGCCAAAAGCGTAGCTGTGTCCAGTTCAGTGTCGTTCATTAAATTCGCCTGTCAGCTGCCCAGATTCGGTTTAATTGCGCCGTGAGCTTATTCGCAAATTGGCCCAATCAATGTGTGTAAATACATAGATACAAGACGTTTCCTCTATATACATATTAGGCGTAATCGCGGGTACCTACCCCGATTTCGCCTGCCTCTTTTTTATACATATATTTTCTTGATACAATCTATTTGTACGTCTTTCATGAAGATTCTTTCAGCCGGTTAGCTGTCAAAAGACACAACAGCTTCGTATTTATAATATGTTAATTATATTAATATGTTAATTCTTCTGCATTTTTTCATTCATTAAAAGTTCAAGTAAGTTCATTACGTATTGAATTGTAGAAACTTTAAAGTCAGTTTCAGTATCTGAATATTCAGAGACATTTCTGACATTTGATATTCAGAGTTCATCCGTAATTTACTAGATTGTTTTTATTTTTACACAATTTAAGATTTTGTTCTAAAAAGTTCAATAAGTGAGGAAAATATTTGGAAATCGACACGATAATATTCTTACAAAAAATCATCAATAGTTGGTTCAAGTTTAAAAGTTCAATAATACCAATAATTAAAACTTTACAATTAACAAAGTTACCACGTAGAATAAAAATACTACGCTGTTAGTCATATCATATTTTGATATATCATATTTACCTACTACCTTCTCCTTCTATTCTTTAAGGAAAAGTTCAAAGTTTCTATTCTTAACGGAAACTTCAAGGCAATAGCCTTAAAATAGCAGGCATAAAATTGCTGTTATAACTTACTTTGAGGTTTTAGTATCACGTAGCAATTTCATTATTTTTATTAATACAGTTTTTAAATAATTCTTCAACTCGTGTTACAATTTGATGACTTGGTTATATAACTTTACAGTTACATTAAATATTCACACAATATATACATATAACTTTGAAGTCTTAAATTAAATGTAGTTAAAATTATTTTAGGCGCTTTTACTTTAAAATGCACAGAAAAAAGTATTCAACTTAATTGGCAAGAAATCAAATAGCGACCATTTGACCTTTTAACAACAGTCTAAGGAAAAGGGCTGTTTTTCTCATAAAACGCTGATTTTATGAAAAATTCTATAACTCATTGTGAACTTCCTTAGATTTAAAACCGTGTATAAATCCAGTACGTTTATTCCTTATAAACAAATCAATCACATTCAAGTAAAAACGTGGATAGTACCCAATGTAATAGCTACCTCTTCGATGCAATCATGTGAATACAATCCCTGGAGCTTGCTGTAAATCACATTAGATTCTACATTTAGCTCCACGTGGTACGAAAGACTTCAATGTCTTCAGTACTGCAAAATTTATTTACAGTGTTAAGAAACGATCTCTTTTTCTTACTTAGATAAATGTTTCTCAGGATGTCTTTTGTTGCAGATTTATTAATATCAATTACATATATACAACGATGTGACAAACTGACGAATGTGGCTTCATTATGAATAATGTTGGCACAAGAGTACCGGTTGGCTTTATGAAAACCAAATATATAGTCATACTTTTACAACTGAAAAGGTTAAAGTATACTCTTGGCCTACAACCTTAATCTGGTGTGACAAGAGCTACTGCCAATGCTAAAATCCTTTAATATATATTTATAGAGTTGATTGAATTGAAGAAATCTAGATGAAAGTTCATCAAATAAGGTCTTAGTGTTAATTTGAAATTATCACTATTTATTTCATAACAGACGTTATACATTTAGACTTTATACTTACGGTTAGCATAAATGACTTTATAAGTAGTTAGTAAGATTGAAGGTTTAACCATGCTTAGATTTTTATTATTGAAGATTATATTATCGTGATTTACAATTTACTGTATGTTAAAAACTATCTAAATAAATTAAAAACAAAAACAAAATTCTCAACTTATTTTCCAAAATTACAGATATAAGAAAAATGTTCATATTTTTGATTACCAAATTGTGAAGCTTAACATTTAACAAGCCGGTTAACTTAAATGGCTTGGCCGGTAAATATTCCTCGTAATGGAAACGTACGGAATACATAATATGTTTCTTTAGAATAAAACAAGAAACATATTTTCATACTTAAGTTACAGTGATCTAATCCGATGCGATCTCTCAAGCATTTATATGCAAATTGTTTTCATAAACTGTGAATACGTGAGCACGCATGTACTGCCAATCTCGGCAAGGTCAGGGTTTTGGAGGTGGGCCAGAGAGCGTTATATTCATCTCAAATATGGTATCAGCTTGTATGGGTCATGAAAAAACGACCTTCAAGTTAATACGCAATGCGAATTGGCTTCAAGGTCAAATGCGAATTAATAAATCTTCATGATTTTATATATAACTGGAATAGCAAATAAACTAATGTTTCACCTAAGAAAGACAATTTTAGAAAGACAAGTTATGCACAAGCATCACGATTATCAGTAAATGCGTATTCTGTAACACCGTGCAAACATAATAACAGCTTGTAAAGCATACTCATATCAAGATAAATCATAAAAAATCTGCCATCGTCACAACTTTCCCTATAGTTCTCTATTGCACATAGGTTCCCCATATTAAGTCATAATTACTGTCCAGACTAGAATTCTATCTCGAGGGGAATTATTCACCTCTGTATTTGCCTCTGTATCTGTATAGTTAACAGTTACTCGATTAATAGGTACATCTCTTCTTATACTTACGAGTACTTCATAAACTGCTATCTTCACATAGTATTTAATAAAACTCTGTTCTTAATAATAACAATGCGGTCCACGCCTCATTGCGTTTATTCCTGCTTTTATTATTTATTTATTGCAACTAATTTAGGTATAAAAATGTTAATATCATTGTTTTAATAAAAACATATTAACTACAAATTCAGTACGTACAAAGAAAAACAATCAAAATGATTCATTTACAAATACATTACTACCTAATAAAAAACGGTGGAACGAATTTCTATAAATACTTATATACGAGTATAACATACATATTTATATGACGTATAAAATTAATGTCTAAGTTACATTAATAACCTACTATGGAAAGAGAGACAGAGAGAAAGAGATAAGAAATTCAGGAAATGGTTGTGAATGCAGAACTAATATAATAATTAAATCGACATCAGATAATATTTTCATTCTA